TTCTTGGAACACCAGAAGATCTACTTGAAGAAAAAATAAGAAAAAATGCAAATCCGTCTTCAGCGAAAAAATCGCATTGTCAGCTTCCGTTCGGTGTCTTACGTTTCAAGGACACTAAATCGGGGATCGTCCGTCCTAAAGTCAGACGTTCTCCTATTTCCCAGACACCGATCCATCCGTCCCAGGATCGTCCTTCTCCCTAGGCCCGAAGAATAAGGCTGGAACTGGCGCCGACCTCCCTCGACGAGACGAAGCAACGTCTTCTGCAAAGGACACGTTAGTTGCGTCGCGCGCCACCGAGAGCGCGCTAAACCGGCGCAATAAACTGTAACCCGAGGCTTTAGCCGCGTACACAATGCATACTGCCGCATCTGTGCACGACTACGCACAATACACTACGGGAAACTCGTCTTGTTTTCGTAATCGACCATACGGCTAAGCTTCCCGGCTGTACGCGGCGAAAGAAACAAGCCTCTCTTGATATCTGGCACGCACGTGGATACTTTTACCAATGTTCTCGGGCTATTCTTTCGAAAAATCTGCGAGCAATACTTGTCTAGAGTGAAAGAGAAGGCACGTTCTTGGTTCGCCAGTGTTTTTAATCCTTTGTGAACAGAGGGCTATTGCGCGACATGTCGAAGTATAGGATACTTACGTAACACGTAATTAAGTTACCACTTCGGTATTTTTTTAAAGTAAATCACGCGAAAATTACATTTTTCTCGAATATATGTACTATATGAATTCATGGTCGTGCTATTCTTATTGTTTAATATGGAAGTTTACCGGTTGCGTTCGTAGTGTACGTGTCTATCGTTCTCGAAATGTGTTAATTCGTGTTGCACACGTAATCGATCGAAATAATGAAACGAAGAGCGTGTTTCGACTGTATAGTAGGTTAATCGACATGGTCTTCGATATAATATCAGGCATTACGAAGTGTCTTCTTCGGAATTCTTTTTCTGTAATATCGAACTTACGCAGTAAAGTTTGATTTTCATTTAAACAAGCAGATCTAA